TCTCTCTCTACTATATATATATATATATATATAGAGAGAGAGAGAGAGAGACTATTTGTGCTTATATATATGTATGTATGTATCTGGGAGTCTGTTCCTTATGCACAGTCATATCTTTAAAGCTACAAACTCAAACTCGGGGTACAGATACAACTTTGTGCAAAAAGTAACATGGGCTATGTGGCTGCAGCCTCAGAGGCCATTTTGAGGCCAAGAATTATAGCAAAGTGACTAATATAGCAATTTTTGGCAAACAGGGCAACAGTTGGTCTCAAATTGAAAAGGCTGGATTTCTTTGGTAATATGTGATCAAGAGGGCTGTTATTTATGTGTCTTTTCTGTGTGAGGACTTCTAATTATTCTATCCATGATCAATTATGTGTTAAAATTATTTTACAAATTTGTGGATCCTTCATTTGTGCTCTTTCCCTCCCTCTCTCTTTCTTCTACACATATATGCCTACTCTCTAACTCCCTTTAACTGAAAAAGGCTGGTGCTTTCTCTTGAACATGCTTGCACACTCCCTCAACTAAATAGGTTTGCTTCAGCCATATCTTTTGCTTTGCTTGTGTGTACTCGCAAGAATCACCTATACAATGGCTTTACAAAAACATTTGGTATCGACAAGTTTTTACTTAAGTTGTGTTGGCAACGAGAAGAAAATAAATCAATTGATCATTAACTGGAACAATAATAAAGTCAGAATATGCTGCAAATGACACTTGACTACTCAGCAGAAATCAGGATACCAAAAGGTAGAGAATTTTGTTTTGAAAACTTGAAATGTCATGCAAAGGACATTGAAAAAGCAGGAGCAATGTACCTAGTTTTACTCTGATTAAAATAGCTTTAGCAAATTTATATTTTTTGGCAAATTGTTATTTTTATCGATTTTACACAAAATATTTAGTTAGGTAAATAAGTCATTTTGAATTTTTAGGGTACTCCCCTAGTTAAATATAAAAGCCATTTCTTGGAATACTGTTAATATACACTTTTCTTATTCTTGAAAAATCTTAAGGTATTAGATAAAGAATTCAGTGTTTAAAAATTGTAATAGGCCTAACACTAATGTCTTATAACAGATATAGTTAATTATAGTTATGCTTCTCCAGTTTGGAAAAAGCTTTCAGACCATAACAATTGTTGTTGTTACAGATGGCTTATATAAATAGTGTTCAGACCACTAATGGTGTTTGTGGTGTCCTAGTCGCCCTGATGACCTCTAGATTGAGGAAAACACAGTGTCATCAATGGATATGACAAATATAGAATGGTTGGAATACTTTTAATGCATACCCTTCTAATTCTCGAGAATCCTCAAGGGACTAGATAGAGAAAACAGTATAATAGGCCTAATACAAATGTCTTGTGACAAGTATATCAAGTTAAGTATAATTATGTTTGATGATGAAAATAGTATTTCCAAAGAAAGCACATGTTCTGGAACATTGTTTTTAAACAGCATGGTATAGTCAGGTAAAACTGAGTTAACCTTAAAGCAATGGCGTAAGTCTGCAGAATATCTGGAGATTCAATAAGATATTTATTATGAAGTAATTCTGAGTTATCTGACCTTGAATAAGTTTTAGAAGGAAAGAAACAAGAAAAAATATACAGAAACACAGCGAAACAATCTTTATTCAAACTCGCAAACATGTGAGTGTATAAGATAAAGGGCAGCACCTTTACTTTATAGTTATCTTCCTAAACTCCCTTAAGAACTTATAAAGATGTTTAATAAGAACCAGTTAGCATTACAAGTTGAACTTTAGGAGAGTATTACTGTTTAAAAAAGAAAGGGCTTAAACATCAGTTAACAAACTGAGGGCTTGAGCTTGAGAAAGAAAGCTAAGAAATCATAGTATTATATACCCAATATCTTTGACACTATTTTCAAGATGAGTGTGTCTTATATTATGTTACTGTTGGTCAGTCCCATTGTAACGTAAGAGTAGTTACAACCACAAGATATCAACTGACTTACCACTAGAGGACACAGCTGTCAACATTCTTGCACAACATGCAACATTACAACCATATATTCTATAGGTAAAACAGGTGTTAACTCCAGAGATCGACAAAGGAACAAAAACAGCTAGAAAAATAAACTTAATGACTTTCTTGACTACATCTTATATGAAGACTGCACAAACTCAAAAATAACTGATAAATTCCTAATAAGAATATATTAATATAAAGTAATAACATATGGTATATCTATATACTATGTATGAGTAACTATTAGGGATTTGGTATAGCTTGGCCTTAATTTCACAATATTGATAATTTTTGTAACTTCATATTATTGTTATTACATTTTCAATTATTTGATTTTGTAGGTGGTGTAGTCTTAAAGCCTGAACACTTTCACAAGGCTCAAAAATACTGCAAGTGGGCTGGAAGTGCTCTTCAATATGAGGATGTAGCAACAGCCATCAGTAACTTGCAAAAAGCTTTGACCCTACTGACCACCGGTCAAGATGAATAATATCACATTTGGAAAATATATGTGATTATTGATATCAAGTATCGTAGTAAGATTTGTATTTCTTTATGCTTTTTTGTGTATGTATGTTAAGTTTATCATAATCATAATGATGATTAATTCAAGAGGTACATTCTAAAATTATTCTTTAATAATATTATATTTTAAAGAGAATAATGAAAATAACTAGTAGAACTTGAAGCAAACTGCAAGCCGTTATGACTTGTGATAAGTGTAGTTTAAAATCGGTTATATATAGTTCAAAGAATGTAATGTAAATTCATATAAAAAATAAATTCTGAACAATTATGCCCACTTAAAAATTAATGAAGAACCTTGGACAAAATGCTTTTACTTGTTATCTTGACATATCATAGTAACAGGAGGAACCAAGAAACCAAATACATATTTTTTGAAAGTATGTATTAAAATATAGAATTTTTTATAATTAATAAATAACAATTTAAAGATTTTCAGTTGTAAACTTCAAAAACAAAAGTTTTTAAAAATATATTGCTAGGTCAAAATTAAGTAAAACTTAAATTTGATTTCTTTATCCATCAATAAGTCACATTTTATTTTCACGTGTAATAAGGGACTTTCTCAACTTTCATTTGATAGAGGGTTTTTCTTTCATATAGCAGCATATGATTAGTTTCTCCGATTTACTATGTATCTTCAAATTTCCAAAGTTGGAACGTATTGTTGTTGTTGTTTTTTTAATATTAATTTTTAACCATTTTAGTTAGTATTAATAAAGATGTATTTGTTAGTGTCTTAGCAACTGTTTTATATTTCTCTAGCATTAGACCCAAAATTTCCATCTTTACAGATCATTATAAGTTGAGTCTGTTTTTTGTTGTTGTTGCTAACTTTTGTAATCATGGTTTTTTGTTTAATAATGTTGCTTAGTGATGTGATGAAAACTATTGGTGAAAAAAATGTATAACTTGTCTCCAGAGACTACATATAGGTAGTTGATACTGGGTTTTTTTGGGGTAAAATTTAAGTTGAATTATTTCAGATGTAAATAAAGAGTAATACATATATAAGAAAATATTTCACTGTTGTATCAGCTGCATACAGTCAATCACATAAAGTAAAAGTTTAAGGTATGAAATGGTTCAGTAATTTCTTTTAATGCAAAAACTTCTTGTTGTATACTATAATTGAGTTGCAAAGTAAAGTGTCCAAAAGGTATTATTGTAGCCTTTGTAACATTTTGTAGTTGTTTTGTCATGGAATGTATATCAATTTTTCTTGGTTCAAACATATTTTTTTCTTCTACTAGAACTGTATGATGAACTGACCAAACATAGAATGGAAGTCTGGAAAACCTTTGTTTATCTTACTATATTGTTTATATGTCCATAGCAAAAAACAGTCAATCAGACAACCATACTTTATAGGCTTACAGACAATGTCACAACATATCTTATAGAAACTTGTAATACCAGTAACAGACATGACTTATATGAAATAAAGTCATTGATTATAATATAAAAACTAATGTAAGTTGCTCATATATCGAGCTAGTACTAAAACTGATGGCCACCTCTCTTTGTATTTAATGATGCATGGCCATCATTTCTCAATTATATCTAAAATATTGAAGGTATTTAAAAATGCAGCAAATCCTAATCCTGTGGTGTTACTCTTATACATAATTAAAATGTTCTGGAATACCTCGTGTTAGTAAAAAGACAAGAACTAACATCTCGATAAATTCAACAGAATACCATGGATTTCATAATCCAACCACCTGAATATATCTTAATCCTTGAGATAGCTAACATGAGAAATAATTTGTTGCATAAAAAATTTGTGCCTATAATTGTAGGTGCTAGGTAAATAGTTCTTTCATTAAAGATGTTGTGTTATAAACTTCTGACATGGCGTAACAGAAAATAAGTGGCTTCCTTTCAAAAGTGTGTTATTCAATAAAATTTGTAAGTCTGTGGATAATAGTTCTGCAAAATAAAAATAAAAGGATTTTATTTTACTCGGTAATTAATTTAGTTTTTTTTCATGTTTTTGCAAAGGTTTGTGAAGACTTGACAATGATTGATGTGTTTATATTCATTTCTGATATATGTGCATGTTACTTGCTTATGTAAATAAAACCTATTGGCCTCCAATCATAGTTGTTTAATCATATTTTACTGACAATATATACTAATGTCTATGCACACCCAAATAACTACCAAATCTCACATGAACTGTATCAGGAATATTTTTGGATTGCAGCCAACTGATGAATTTCCATGATAATTCCTCTTAATTTCCATGTCTTATACAAACACTGGTTTGCCCAATTAATCTGGATAAAATCATAAGGTCAGATTAGTTGTAATGCAGCGTAATATTTCTTTGGTTTCTCATTGTTTAAACTCATTGATTTTTTGGGGGGGGGGTAATTTTCAGTTTGTGTATTTGTATACAGATTCCTTCAATGTCTGAAGATAAGCTGTTCTACTATAGCCAGATATTGTGGTCTCTAAGTTTAGAAACATTTATTATACTATATGAATTATGTCAGAAGTGTTAGAAGGAATCTTGGTTTTGTGGCTAATCAATTATTTGCTGTCATATCATTAATAAAAAATACTCAAGTTGTCTAGCAAGCCATTCATGTTGTTAGATATCAAACTAACCATATCTGTCATGTGTAAAGACATTATTGTGAAGTATTTTACTAAGCTAGTTGAACATAGTATAATAAATTAGTGTTGCCCTGTGAGTGAAGACAAGACTTTAAATCAGGAGTGCAGGCTTGTTGCTGGTTACTCCACTAATATCTGATGAAGTTAGAATGTAAGCTTTATGATGTATTTTCTCTTACTTGTTTACAGATAGAGCTTTTATAGGTACTTAATTTTTCTTTCAACTTTACTTAGTTGCATTTTTGGGATAATTTTGTGGCCACTCTGGATTGTCACAGAATGTTCCACGTGAGATTGATCTTGTAGTACAGGGTTCATACACTCCTCTTTTTCAGAATTGACCTTTCTCCAGGACCCATAAATGTACATTTTTCATGAAGTATGAGAATTCATTGAAACTTACTCAACTTATATTAAAATGAAGTGTTACAATAAACTATATTTAAATTGTTCATCAAAATACTAGATATGATAAGCAACAAAATATCATAAAAAACACTTAAAAATACTACTACTTTTCACTGTCAGTGGTTAATAAAATCAATGTACCCATCACACAGTTAAAATGGGAGTTTGAACTGCAAGAGCCCACAGCCATCTGTGTTAAGACAGAAGAAATTATTGTGCTATACACGTTGTAAAATGAAAAAAAATATATATATATATATTATTTGTAGACAGCATGGCTTACTAACTTATAGTCAGTTAATTACGAGTTCAAGCTGTCCCATGTCATACTGTTGTGTTTATGAGCAAGACTCTTCTCCCCACTTGTTCTAGTCTACCTAGCCGTATGCTGGGTACCAGCTGTTAACTAGGGGTTTAACCTGTAATGGACTGGCCGTCGGTCCAGGGGGGAATGGGTGGCCATTCTCATCCGCTTGTGCCTCTTGAAACTAGAGTTCCAAAGCACCAGCTCTATGTGCCATGCAAAGGCACAGCAAGGATGAACTTAACATATCATTTAATGAAAGTCATGCTTTTGTAAATTAAGTCATATCAACTAGAGTTCCAAAGCACCAGCTCTATGTGCCATGCAAAGGCACAGCAAGGATGAACTTAACATATCATTTAATGAAAGTCATGCTTTTGTATATTAAGTCATATCAACGCATGTAGCTGAAATGGAAACTGTATAGCTAGTTAACGCATATAAAGCCAATATATTGTAGTATATCTGTACAGAGACAGTTTGATTCTGGCACATTTCTTCTGCTTAAAACGGAAGAGAGAACAGTAAATATTAGGTATGATAAAGAAACAAGAATTCTGGTATAATATGCATCCCATTATTTTACAGAGGTTAGAATATTTATTGTTCTTTGTTTCAATCTTGGCCACAGTATTTTTTTTCTTTGCCTTCAGCTCTAACTAAGACTGTTTCTGTTCATGTAAAATGTACAACTAAAGCCATATGTTATACTGTTTTTTGTTGGGTTTTTTTTCCAGTTCTAAATTCATGCCAATCAGTCTCAGTTTTGTTACATTATTGAAGTAATTATATTCAACCACTTGCCTGGAAAATCCAGAATTTTCCATGCACAGTAAGTCTTGATTCATGAAATGCAATTGCATCATTTTAAAGCTGGTATTTCAGGCTACATGTATGTCATATGAATTTAATTGGACACCAAGCATAACAGTACAGTTAGTAAACATAAGTATATAAAAAATATGTATGAAGAATGAAGTGCAAAAAATATTGAAATATGTTCTTGTAACCACAGAGAATTGGGAGATAAGCAGCAAAGATATATATTTATAGCATTATTTTTAATAGAAAGGTTTTCGAAAGTGAGATTATCACATTGAATCTAATGATAAAGTATCTTAGAGTTTAATCCTGCATTAGTACTCTGGGGTCTCAAGGACCTTAAATATTTTGTAAACATCGGCGCCGACAGATGGAAGCACGTACATGTTTGGTGATCTCAGTAGTTTCAGTATTCGGCTAGTTTGTTAAACTATTATACTTAGTTTAGGAAAAGATTTGGAGTGTTAAGTGTTTTTTGTTTCCAAAATAATAGTTTATTATTATTATTTAAATATTTTTTTTATGATGGGAGTCCAATTTTTACAGAAGACTAAATAGGTAATATTCCTATAATATGTGAAGAGTGTGCCCTAGTATAAACACGAGAATTAGATACAAAAAGACATCTTGTACATAACCCAAATGCTTGATACAACTTATTATAAATAAATTCTTATTTTAGTGTTCTGTATAAAATATTTTCACATGGCAACACAAAGCTCCTTTGAAAACGATTTCACTTAAATTTCTTTTTAGTACATCTGAAACACGTCTACATTTTGTGAAAAATATATCTATTGCTGCCAGTTATCTCAATGATCACCCTCCAGTTATTTCAGAACTTTAAACTTGTGAGTTTATTAATGAAGAATATGGAAATGTTATTACTTTTTGCATAAATAATATTTTGTGAGTTAAGAATATTATAAAGGAGATGACTGAATAATATACAAATGATAATGGTATTCTATCAATTAATTCTCAATTATTTATTAATACATTATTAATGGAATATACAGGTTATAGAATCTCATTTGCGAATTATTAAAAGAAAAGAAGAATTACAAAACGAAATTGACTTTACTACAATTTAAAAAATAATAATGGCCAGGTGGTTAGGGCGCTCGACTCGCAATCTAAGGGTCGCGGGTTCGGATCTCGGTCACACCGAACATGCTTGCCCTTTCAGCCGTGGTAAGTTATAATGTAACGATCAATCCCACTATTGGTAAAAGAGTTGGCGGTGGGTGGTAATGACTAGCTGCCTTCCCTCTAGTCTTACACTTCTAAGTTAGGGAGGGCTGGCGCAGACAGCCCTCGTGTAGCTTTGCGCGAAATTCAAAACATACCGAAAAAAATAATTGTAATAAATTATGTGAAATAAAAGAAGAAAAAGTTATTTTATGAAAGAAGAGGTAGATGTTTAGATCTAAATAAAAATGGATTAAAGCTGGAGAAAAGTCTACTGATTATTTCTTAAATTGAGAAAATATATATTACATAAATTAAACTGTTTCAAAACTAACCGCAACCCGCAAAATATTTGTGGTTGTTTTCATGACCTTCGCTTCAATTTTCCTTATTCTATAATTTTCATGCACGCCTTTTAATATACGCTTTCTTGCAGCCATTATGTGTTAGATCAATAAATTCTAGTCTATTTGAAAAAACGTTTACGCGGTCAGACAAACTATATGTAAAGTAAACAATAAAGTAATGGTATTTATAATAATGTACAGAGTATGAAACAGTTACGAGCGTTCAGTGTACCACATGGTCTTACGAGTTGAAACAAAAAAAGCTCACAAAAAACGAAGTATAAAACCTGTAGTAAAGAAAATAGTAGCTAAAAGGTGTTTCTAGCAGTCTACGAACCGAAGCTAAGTTATTGCAAAGTAAAGTAAATGTAAGGCTGTAATGAAGGCAAACTTAGCTGAATATGCAGAAACTACTGAATGGGTGTTCACAAAGTGATAAGCACATGTTTAAAACGAACTGCGCATGCGTATTTTAGACCTAAATAAGCCGAGAAAGCCCAAATAAACTGTGTTTAGTGTGATGTTCTTTTTTTTTTAGGAAATTACACGCGGTTTAAGTGTTGTTTGTGTGAAATACATTGCAAATAAAAAAACTAAGGTTGAAATCGAAGCCTGTCGTCACGTCACGTGATGACAACGACATTGTGCCATCGTGTATCATACTCGTTGCACTGAAAAATTTGATTAAACTAAAAACAAGTAAGGTGATTCTGAATTGAAAAGCCAGCATACAATCCAGACTACTTTGACAAAGGCCTTACTAACGATATGAAATTTGTAGCGTTTGATTGAGAAGTTTGCGAGAAAAGTTCCGGGCAGACAAATGCAAACGTTACAGTGGATGATATTGATTTAAATATACTAAAGTTTTCCTAAAGACTGATGTATTAATGATTCTCTTAGTCCCACAGCAGTAACTCTGGAGGCTTATAACACTAAAAATTGGGCTTCGATACCCATGGTGGGCACACCACAAATAGCCCTTTATTTATTTATTGTGCATAACTACAAATCAACAACATTAATGATTCTCAGCAAGAGGCCAGTAAAGCGTCAATCCGGATAATTATTATTGGTTACTGGTGTTCCTAAGAGGATTGGTTCACAATATGAAGTGACCAATATCAAATTAAGACTAACTTGTTCAAGTGATAATTTCTACAAATAAGTTTATATGTGAAAGATATCTTTTCATTTTAAAACTATAAAGCGCTATTCCCATGAATGTTTCTATGTTGTAAGAAGACGAATAGAATTAAATTATTTCTGATAGAAATTTTACGTTTTCTCTAGTTATGTTAATAAGAAAATGTGTATAAAACTTAGAAACAAACGTTTCTGTAAACTACATAGTAGCATGTATAGCATTTTAATGGTAAAAGCTGAACATTCTGTTGCGTCAG